AAGGAAACATCTAGATCTAGATCTAGACCGATATATCTAGATATATATCTAGAAGTTGGAGGCCGCTTGCTTTCTTTTTCTTCATTATTTTTTTTTTGCCATTATAGTGACATCAGTGAGAATATCGATTTCATTTGTATGGCGATACTGTGTTTTTTATGCACAAACTGCAGGTTACAAATTTTTATTAACTGTAAGTCTAACGTTAACAAACTATCATTGGACAATTTTGAGCGGTAACGAAAGTGAAAGTAGATTTTGATTTTCTCGAAAGAGTCTCAGTATTACACCTACACTTCCGCCTACCGCCCTAGCCGCTTATTTGGGTGAAACGTACTCTCGGACTGGGGAAAGCCGAACGTAATATCACAAATGCGACCGGTAAAATATAAACTCAGTAGCCTTTTCAGATTTGGTTTCGAGGATTTTGTGAATTTTCTCAGGTCTCCGCGATTTTTTTTCTTCAAATTCTTGGGTAATAATTCCCGCAGTCCCCCTGCGTAGAATCCTCATTGGGAACTTACCGATTCTCTCGACCAAGACAGATTTTAGAATGTTTTGCTTCGATACCGATTTTCTTTCTACATTCACAATTCTGTTTTCTAAATAAATGAATAAAATGCACAGATTCTCCAGCGGCAACAAAAATTCAAAGATAGACAGAAAGAAAGAATGAATGAAAGGAAGGAGGAAGATTATCTATCGGGAGTAGACAAATTTTAGCTGATATGCACGTGAAAAACTATTGGATAGTCAAAAACATGGCGGATAATGTCTTTTACAGAACGCTGTTTGATGGAAAAACTGAGGCAGAAAGAGGGTGCATCCTGATTGTAGATGAAATTGAAGGCCAGCATAACGTACAGAGGAAGTGTGATCTTTGCTTATTCTGCAGATGACAAAGGCAAAGCTGCAAAGACCCTGTTCTGCATTATTTTCAAGTGTTGTTGTTTTTTTGGTAGGAAAGAAATTTATGGCTACAGTCACTCCATGTCATGCACTGATGGCAGACTTTCAGTTTGAGTGTGTGAGGGAGGTTATCTTGTCGTTGGAGAAATGTGGTGTCAAAGTTGTGGGGTTGATCAAGGACAACAATAGAATAAATCAGTCGTTCTTCAAAATGTTTCCTCCACCAGACCCCAATGAGCCATGGATTGCCCAATACCCGACAGATTCGGCACGCAAGATGTTTTTGATCTACGATCCTGTTCATCCCATTAAAAACATCCGCAATAACTGGATCACAGAAAAAAACCAAGACTCTGAGCTTTCCGCTACCGGAGGCTCCTAAGCCACTCTGGCCAAGTGGAGTGACTTGGGGGCATTCTTTTGAGCAGTAGAGAGCTCGTTAGTCAAGCTGTCTAAGCTAATGATATCAACTCTTTCCCCATCAAGTTCCGAAAAGCAGAAAGTTTCCTTTGCCCTAAATGTCTTTTGTGATGAAACAAGCGGCACACTGAAGACATCAGGTCACAGCACAGAGTCCTGGAGGTGCTCTAATGTTCCCTCATTTACGCACTCGATTGTGGAATATCAAAACCACTTCCACTTATCGTTTTTATTTTAGCATCAGTTTCTTGCACCGCGGCCTTATCCTGCTGCCGTAGACTTTATTGCGTCCAACACCTCCCCTCAATTCCCAAGGCCTGCAAAGCTCCTACTTTGAATTAATTTTGATTAGGCCTACCGGCCATTCCCCTACTCATGCCGTACTAACATGATGCGAACTCGTACAGGTTCACTGACCGGTCACGATGACGGGCCCGACAATCTAGATCTAGGCCTAGGGTAGGAGAGCCAGCTGTGACTCATTTGGCCGGCGTAGTACAGTGACTGGTTGAGTCGGGTGGCTAGAAGAGAGGTGAGATGGGCTTCTGGACCTAGGTGTGGACAGGTGATAGCTCTATATGATGTACTGCAGAGGAAACCAATGAAGGGGTAAGACTGGAGCCCAAGAGGAAACCGCAGCAGTAGGAGCGATAAATTAAAGTCGCGATAAACAAGCGGCACACTGAAGACATCAGGTCACAGCACAGAGTCCTGGAGGTGCACAGATGTCTTCATTGATCTCGTCGTCAAGCTCTGGAAACTCTTCAACCGCAAGACCCAATTTCAGGAAAAACGCCTCTGTGATCCACATCGCATTGCCATCGACCTGACAGAAAAAGGTGACACAGCCGTAAAACAACCTCTTGCGGTGAGCTGAGATAGCAGAGGCAATGAAACCATCACAGTGGCTGAGAACGCATTGTCTTACAAAGGACATTTCCGAAGCATTTGCGTGGATATGTAGGAGCCTTGCTGCCATGAGCAGATACTTGCTGCAAACGACGGAACCATACAGACACCAGTATGTTTGTTTGGGTTTTTTCCAACAGGATGACCAGGAAAAGCAGTATGGACACTTCAGAAGATCTGCCGGCTGCAACTATTACTTGACTGTTCAAGAAGTGATGCACACCCATGCTATTGACAGGGCAAGGATTTTACTTTAGGCCGACATTGAGCTTGATTACAACATCAGTCATCACAGCTGTGACCTTTGTCAGGAGGAGCTGTCGGAGAGAGGCCTGCTGCTCATCGACGACATGACGGAAGGGAAAGTTACTGTGTCTATTGATGAAAAGCTAGCAATTTTCCATATTGCTGGCTACATTGCTTTTAAGCACAGTGAACTAGCTGGCAACCCATCTGACAATACGCCTGATGTTAGAGTATTTCTGGAGGAAATCAGCCGTGGGGGTCTGACTTATCCATCAGACAAACTTTTCACCCTCACCATCCTGGATTATTACTTCCTGAGAAAGACCACTCAGCCACTTTGCAGAAACAAACTGATTGGAGTCCTAGCTGACTTCCCTCAAATCTTTCAGTTGGATTTGCAATTTCACGAGAAGCCCTCCAGCGGATGGTCAACATTTCCATGAAGCGATACTGCAGCCAATTTAATGAAGAGGACAACAGCTCTCAACAACGTCGAAAGATCGCCAAACTGTCATCAACAACAGCATAGAAACAGGTAAGGGAAAAGAAAATAATCACTAATCTACTTTTTCTTTCTGTCTGTTGCTTTCACTTGTCATGGTGCAACTTACAAGTAAAAAGAACATTTGAATGTCTCCCCCCCGCTCACTCCTACTCTATTTCTGTGAGGAATGTGAGCGTTTGTTCCTGTCTGCCTTACTTTAATCTGATGTTTATGTTTTGCACTTCTCTTGACTTGTAAAAAGTAGGCCTACCGTCACTGACTGTGACATGGTCATCATGATGGTCCAAAACTTATTTTTATGTTTTACGCTTCGATCGGTCTATCTATGCATCTCTGTACCTGTCTATATCTCTGATCTCTCTATGTTTGTTTGGTAAGGACCATTGTAAATTTACACAATTAATTGTTAGAACAATAATATAAATTTGGTGCGATATGTAGGCCTAATATAATTTTTCTATTCAAGAAAGAGAGAGAAAGAAAAGTAGAAATAGAAAGGGAAGGGAGAGAAAGAGAGAGAACGGGGGTGGGGGAGTGAATTTGTCTCAATTCATATTAAATTTCAACATTTTGCAATGAGGCAATTTACTTTGTAAAATTATCCTGTTCAATTGTTGTTTTTAAAAAGTAATAAGTGGAGTTGAGAGAGAGAGAGAAAAGGAAAAAAGAGAAGAGAGAAAGAGAAAAGAGAGAGAGCAAACAGCGAGTGACAACATGGCCTTCACAGTTGTCAGTACTGAGGGGGCGGCGAGCCTGTCAGCCCACACGTGAGGTGTGTTGTTCCTGGGCTGTGTTGCCTGTAATTAGGGCGCCTAGTCCTAACACCATCATGACCTTCACCCTGCTGAACCTACCAAACACATCATGACCTTCACCCCTCTGAACCTACCAAACCCATCATGACCTTCACCCCTCTGAACCTACCAAACCCATCATGACCTTCACCCTGCTGAACCTACCAAACCCCATCATGACCTTCACCCCATCATGACCTTCACCCCTCTGAACCTACCAAACTCATCACGACCTTCACCCTGCTGAACCTACCAAACCCCAACCTGACCATCTCCCTGCTGCATCCACCAAAGCTACCCAGTCAAATCCCCCTAAACATGCAAACCTGTAAAGGCTCACAAAGAGACTGGTAGGAGTAAGTACGGGGAAGGTCAGCGCTGAGTGTTCTATATCTCCCCAGACAAGCCAACCCAGAGACGTTCGTAGACAAACAAAGACGAGGGAGATAACTGCTGAGCAATTCATATCTCCCCAGACAAACCATCCAAAAGACGTCAGAGAGAAAGAAGAATGAGGGAGATAACAGCTGAGTGATACTGGTGAGCAACGAAGGAGCAGAGACGAGCGCGCAGGGTCGTTGAGTACATTCACGAGACCACGCAGCCGCTGTTGTTCTTGGGGTCTTTGTCCGACATGGGCACCTCCTTCTCCTTCACAGACGGGAGAGGTGCAGGCTTCTCATCCTTGTCCTTCGGCTGAAAGAAAAAAAAGAGATTTATAAAATGTGAGCAGATTATGTAGGTACCAGAAACTAAATTTTCAAAGTAGTTGTATGCCAAATTTATCAGTTCCATTTGAAAGGCCTGTATCCACTGAGCATTTTGGTACCATTCTTTAACCTCTCAGTCAATTTTAAAAAGAAAATGGTAGTTGTTTAAAATTTGATCAAATTTGTTAAAGTCAGTCACTGGCTGCAACCCCATGTTTGAAAGACAATAAAAGAGTACCAAGAGCACTAAACATCTCCACATTAACAGAGTACAATCACTATAACAAATATATGGAGCCTAAATTTTTTCAAGACTGTGAGATCATTACAAATCAGTATTTTATCCCTTCAAACACGATGATCTGTCGTTATTTCGACAAAAACACCAAGCGTTGACCCGGCCGGCACCGCACTGGCCCCGCGGCGAGCGAGTCGGCTTATACTGTAGTGTACCCCGCGTGCACACCATTGTAACGAAGAAAAGCTGAATTTTTACAAGGTGCATGGCATTGGTGTTTTATAGCGAAAGAGCAAAGAAACAGCGATCGGAATTACCCCGATTTCACCGATACCACGCGGTTGGAAGGCCGCGAGTACCCGCGAGGCCGTGTTTACGCTACCTAGATTATGAAAATATATTTTTAAAAACCATCAAAGGGAGAGACATCAGCGAAATTGTAAATGTTTTATATATCACAGTAAAAAAAGAAGATCATTTAGGAGACTGTCGCCATGTTTCTGGAGAGAAGAATGGGATGGCATCCATAGACCTATCAGGAGCCCATCAGCATCACTTCCTGTGGCATTAACAACCTGTCACCCTCTAATATGCTTCTATCTCATCACAGTTCTTTCCTCTCATTTCTGCAACGCACATGAAAACAACTTTCAAGCATTGTATTTCCACTACATTTTCATAAATCTCTTCTGTCCCCAAAAAATCACACATTTCACATGACCTACTTTTGCTTTGTTTCTAAGTTTAAGAACAGTAGATTTACATCTTTTTATCAAGAGTATCAGCATAGAATTTAGTAACCCATGCCAATATATCCATTCTTATTCTCCAAATTTCGCTATCAGTTAAACCCGCATCGAACAGAAATTAACAAAACATGTAATCATGTGAAGAATCTGACCCCCAAAAAGTGAATGATTTCATGGACAGGGAAGTTTGGGAGTGAGACAAAATGGCAGACGTAATCTGCTCACATCATGATAGAAATACAAATTTTGATGGGACCAACAGTGAGGAACTGAGGCACCCACAGACCTGTCAGGAAGGCACTGACATCACTTGACACAGAGGAAGAGAGAGACAAAGAGAGGAGCCAGAACGATGCATACTGTCCAGTGTCCGTACATTGTGTAAGATAGACAGTAAAAAAAAGTCTGCATATCACACACACACACACACACACACACACACACACACACACACACACACACACACACACACACACACACACACACACACACACACACACACACACACACACACACACACACACAGAGTCCATGGGCGGTTGGTGGATGCCACTGGTAGCTGCTATTTCTTTTGTATTCCCTCTGTTGTTTTTGTCTATGTCTCTTTTACTTCTTCCCTGCACTTAACCCTAGAAGCGCTCAGCGTTGCACCGGAAGTAACCCGCCAAAAATGCCCCGCCGCCACGGCCGATCAGTTGTAAACATGGGGGTTTGGCGGGGGGGAAAACAGCTGATACCCGAAATGTATACCTGCTACTGAAAAATTACCATTTACGGCTCAACGGATGATAACAAGCATATAAAAGCATATATTTTCTTTAAGCTGATAGAATGAGCCATTAAAAAATGATCAGCGATCAAATAAATACAAACAATGCCGAGAACGCGATAGACTCAACAATTAGTACATCAGCACGGCGAAACAAGTGATAACACATAGCGTGTAGTCGCTCAGCGGGACCGCGTCACTTTATCGATCGATATCTCGGCCAAGAGACGCTCTACGAGGTCAAGATAACTTGCAAAGTCATTGGTCACTATTTATAACTTTGGCCTGTAATTGACTACGTCATTTTCCATATAAGGAACACTGGAATTTTCCATTGAAAAGGGTCAGCGTCTATGCCCTTTATATAGGGCCTGCGCGCTTCCCGGTCGAAGTAGGTCAGCCCTATATATAGGGCGTGCGCGCTTCCCGGGTAGCCCGGCTCACGCCCTTTATATAGGGCCTGCGCGCTTCCAGGGTTAATGAACATGAATGTGCTGATGAGCTTCTTTTCACTGAAACAAACCAACAAACCAACAAAACAGTCCTCACTTTTTCTGCCTGTGGTTTGGGCACGTTTGTCGTGCTGAACTTGCTGTAGACGTCCGCTGACCACAGTTGGTGAAGGGCCGGGGTAGTGAACTCTTCCGGGCTGACCAGGCCATAGGTCGCCTTCAACTCTAGAGCTGGGGGGTCAAAGCTCACCTTCTGGTGGTAACTGGGGGGTCAAAGGTGAAGAAGAATGGTCCAAGGTGAGCAGTTAAAAGTTTGAGAAAAGAAAGTAGCCGAACTATTGTTGAAATATTTAAATGATGAAAGAAGCACACAGCTAGCTACAGCAAATCCTGCGGTTCACAGCAAAGTTTAAAAAAAAGAAAACACCAATGAAAAATTAACTTAACTGATCTGTGTACAAATCCAACACCTCAACATACGTAATAAATACCTAACACTTCACACAAATCCCACACCTCAACATACGTAATAAATACCTAACACTTCACACAAATTCCACACCTCAACATACCTAATAAAAACCTAACACTTGACACAAATCCCACATCTCAACATACCTAATAAAAACCTAACACTTGACACAAATCCCACATCTCAACATACCTAATAAATATCTAACACTTGACACAAATCCCACACCTCAACATACAGAAGTAAATACCTAACACTTGACATAAATCCCACACCTCAACATACAGCAGGAAATACCCGACACTTCACAAAAAGCAGCTCATGAGCACAAGCCCTGTGGACTCTGGGGAGATCCCAAACACTGTATAGCTAACCAACTCACATGAGTCCGTTCTCCCTCTCACATTTCTCCAGCGTGCGCTTCACAATGGGCCCCAACTTGCGGAAAAACAGATGGTTCTGTGGGCGCGCCGTGGTGCCAGCGCCCTTGGTGGAGGCGTACTCCTTACACAGCAGCTCTGACTTGTCGTACACTGTGAGATAAGACACAAGTTGCTGTAGGTGTCGGGAGTTGTTTTTTCACCGAGTTGTCACTGTCGATGTTACTGCTTTTATTGAGTTACCGTTAAAGGTCTAGTTGAGGTCTCCCTTCTCAAATTAAATGAAAATCGTTTTACATGCATGACGTCGTAGCTATGTTGGCCCCACAGAGAATGGAGGCCCTGCATGTGTGTAAGTCAAGTAAGTGCCGAATGGAGACCTCAACAAGACAAATAATGGGTTATTCAAGCTCCAAGAAAAGAACTGGTTTCTCAGTATCAGTTATCAAAAGGATGAACAAATCATTAATACAAACATGTGAAAGCAGTTTTTTTTTCTATTTTACTTGTTAAGATCTATACCTGTCGAGATGTCGAATAACCAACCAAATATGTGCTATGTAGTAAAAGCTGTTGGGTGAAGGTGAGATTGCCACTGGTTGATCCTACTTTTTTTCTTTTTCTCTTGTGTTTTTATTTTTAGGATTTGCTTTTTCCCTTCGAGAAATGACAGTCAGGGAGTCTATATGCTATTCTTTATTCAAACAAGCATAAAAAACCCCACTCTCACTAATCTAACAACATCTGTGAATTGAGAAGTCAAAAGAAAGAGAAGGGGAAGGGGAAGGGGGTGGGGGTGGGGTCTCAATACTTACAGTCCACGCTCTCCTTGAGCCCTCGTATGGCATCCCCACACTTGTCCTGGTTCAGAAGACTTTCGCCATTGTAGCTGTGTGCCTGTAAGAAAACCAGTTAGACACCCAGTTTAGTTTTTAAAGCATCATCAACACCGTTAGGTCACTTGACCCCTCCAAAGCCACAATGACATATCTGGCACATCATGGAAGTGCACAATTGTCCAAAAGCTTGACGTATCAGGGAATGCATGAGGCATTGTATTCAAAGGGTTTGCACCACACAAACAAAATATGGACAGCATAAACACAGTAAAAAGAAAAGAGAGCAGACCACATTAGCTAAATTCAGAGAAGCATGAAGACACAGATGCCAAACAACTCCACAGCACTCATGACCAAAATAAATTAAACATGAAAAATCAGAATAGCAAATCAGACACTCACACATGATAAGTAAAACTTTGCCTTCAGTTGAAAGTACTTGCGCCACTTCCCTACATCCTTCTGGTCGAGGCTGGCTAGGGCATCATCTGCAGAGGTCATAAAGGGGAGACATTTAATCTACACAACACAGAGCAATTATATGAAAGAATGGCAACTCTTCGGCAGTCATTCAAAGCCAATGAAAGACCATGCTCCACTTTTTAGAGAAAGGAGATGTTGATAAAAAGACCTCTTTAATTACTGTATGCAAGTAATGGGAAATGCAATATCCAGTCGACTACAAAGTGTATTTTCTCAGGTCTGAAGCTCACGCACAGCTTCTCTGTTTGGACAATAAAATATTTCTAATAAGGCTCTGGTACAGCATTCAGTTTCTCTTGAATGCTGTACCAGAGCCTTAATAGAAATATTTTTTTGTTCCAACAGAGTAAATTGAACTGCTTAATTCCATTTTGTTATTACCCAAGAACCCGCCTTCCAAAGGATCATTATAATAGGGGGTTGGAATCTTGCCAAAACAAAACATTCTGTGTGATAAGGTCTTACCTCCACGTTGGTACATCTCTGAGGTTTCATATGCCAGAGCAGCAATCAAACCTACTGCATGCTTCAGCTCTATAGCTCGCGCCAGCGTGACTGAAACAAACAAACATCTGATTTAGTTTTTTAGTTTTAAGTCAACTAGCACAAGTCATAGCCTATAGTGTCTTCTGCTGATGTTGTGATCAGAATATCCCTCAAATTTTCTTTTATTAATATTTACCCCAAGAATGAAAAGAATCATTAATACGACTTACTAAGAGAGAACATATACGAAGGAAAAAAAAATGCAACATAAAAAAACACCCAAAACTATTGCCTTTTCTGAGCTACGTTATTAAAAACTTGAAAAGAATAATAAACAATAACAAACACAACAACAAAAAGCCAGAACCCAAAAACAATTTCCTTCTCTAAACTTAGTAATTTCAAGACTGGTAAGGTGAACAGAGTGGCATAATGCTGTCTAGTAAAATCATTTGTTTGTAGAATCAGAAAATCACAGCAAAACCAACCCCCTCCCTTTTCTTTTTTTTTTTTAGTTTAGTTTTAATAGAGGGTTTTGCGGCGCTCGCAACTGCATATAAAGTCATATGAGCGCCAGAAGATTAGAGGTGTTACAAGAGAGTAACAAACATAAAATAGAAGAAGGGGAGACAAGGATGATAGATGTTTGATAGGAAAGAAGAAGCAAACCACACCAGAGCACCCGCCAAACACCCACCCTCCCTTTTCCCATCCTTTTCTCATAAATGGCTACTTAAAACGACACAAGACTATTGTGAAAGAGGGGCATGAAGAAAGGATGAGGGGCAGAGGAGCCAGGGAAAGACAAAGAGTAACTTGGATGGACAACATTAAAACATGGACTGGCCTGGATATGGCAGAATATGCAACAGCAGCTTGCGACCATGAAGGATAGAGGGTCTTTACATGTCAACCTCTGAGTCAGGGTTGACACCTCCAGCTTTTTTTCTCTCATAAAAGAACAAAAGGCAATCTGGTACAACATGGGGTGTACTCACTCTCCTGAGCCTCGGCCGTGCACTGTTGGATGTACGCGTCCAGTATCCGACTGTCGCTGTCCTGGGCTCCTTCCGCCGGGACATCCAGTAACTTGCCTCGTAACTCGTCCTGGTCAAAGACAACAGTTAACTCACAGGTCATGGGCACAGTCTTTTGGCATTAATAAATTAAACCAACCTACTTTGTTAATACACGCATTATGGAACAGTACTAAAACAACAGTCAACAGCAGAGCAAATTCTAGAATATGACAAAGCCAGTTCTACATCACAAGTTTATCTTTCGATAAGGCAGTACAGATGTACACAAAAATGACTCCCTCAGCATGACAAACGTAGTGTCAAGTACACAACCTTTTCGGGCCATCCAAGCCAAAATGAAGTAGAAATAACTGACTTGCCTACTGTGGTCACAGTCAAAGGGAACCATGTCAATATAGGGATGTTTATTGAACAATGGGAACAAGCAAAACAAGTTATCCAAGTAAAGAGAAGCACATGGAAGGGCCAGTTTATGGTAGGAAAAAGAAAGATTGATAGAAACAGCATAGGGAGGGTAAAAAACTAAAACCCACCAGAGGGCTTTCCAACCAGCTATAGGCTAGACAGAGAGACAGAGACATCATACAGTGAAGAAGGAGGATGTACTTGTACCAGTGGTACTCTTTGCTGACCCGTAACAGACAGACAGGAACAATAAAGGGATAATATAGAAGGAAGACAAACCATTGGCACCCTCTATAATATGTGAGGCGTGTTGACAAAATGAGTTACTTCTCGCTATCCACAAATGGAGATAATAGCGAAAAAATCGACACTATGGTCAAATTTGTAGATTTTCTATTGATTCCATATTCTTTAACTACAACCCGTCTTTTGATATTCCATACTTATAAATTGTAAAAACTTCACCTATAAGCATCATGTATCTATTTCCATGAAGCTTGAATCGGAGAAGTAACTCATTTCGTCAGCACGCTTCACATATGAATAACAAACTGATCTAGACATAGGTCATCCTCTCAGAACTATTTCGTCAAAAGTGAACTTTATAGTCAAGTGTTGTTTGGACAAAATAGTTCTGAGGGGGTGATATATTTGTAAGAGGTTTGTTCCTTCTCTACCTTACAAAACTTGAACATCCCTGCCGCTGTTCTCAAACACTTGTGGATTTCTTTGGCCTCTTCCATATCCGGGCTGGGGAGCAAAAATGATAAAGAGTTGTTTGAGTGAAGGAAAAGCCCATCAACACGACTATAAAGGTCATTTAGTGCAGAGAAAAGTCAGAAACGGAGACAGAAACTAAAGACAAAGATAAGACAAAGTACTTACCAGAGTGGTGCCCTCCAACCATCCATGATAACGACTCGAAAGAACAAAAATACAGGGCAGGGAATTACTGTGATATTCTGTCGAGAAACCTTCACACAAATTCCGATGGTCATTCTGAGACATGACAGTATTTAGAAAGAATCCAAGAGAAGACTTTCATTATTTTAAGTGCAGAAAATAAATTTAAGCTGAAGGAACAAACTAATGAGGAATTTCAAGGAGGGCCAATCTCCAATACCAGACAGAAAGACCTTGGTGCTCAGAGTGTGTCAAACAGAACACAAAAACAACCATAAGAATACCACAAAATGATACAACAGTTTCGAAAGAGATGGTATTTAAAAGTCAACATTTTTTTATAAAGTCCACATTTAAGGCTAAATTGTCCAGGGACAATATTCTGGTAAAAACATTTAACTTTGCTAAATAGCTCGCAAAACCAGATTAACACAAGCACCATTTGTATAGAAAATATTGAAAGCATAAATCTTGATCAGTAACTTGTACCACTCACATCTTTTGCAGCAAGATGAAGAGCCAAATCATTAGTATTAATTACATCGTAGACACTGAAAAACTCTTAGGAGAAGGAAGAAAAGCATCTTGACTCACACACAAACCTACACTCATCTGTAAATCAATGAGCCACAACCATAGCTAACAACACATTTGTCTCAATGTGGGGTGTGCGTGTGGGGAGGGGAGGGGGGTAAAAAAAGTAAAATGAAGTAAATGTCTACAGTGCAAAGACAAAACCGTGAAATTACAATGGCAAACAAACCCAAGGGCCTCTCACACTAACTTACAAAAAAAGCATATGGCCAAAAAAAAACCCCCCCAAAAATTGTATAAATGTAAACCCATACTCACGTGTCTTTAGCAGCAAGTTTGGCAGCATGTTTTGAAAACCACAACGCTACATTGAAGAGCATACAGAAGCACTCAAACATAGTATCTGTGCATTCCCTGAAAAACAGGTAAGAAACTCAACGTCAGAATTTACGGAGATGTCACCAACAAGAAACACAAACTCCCTCTGACTATCATTTCCTTATCCATTGTATAACAACACAAGAAATTACTTCTAAAACTTTCCAATGTCCATTCTATCTAAAACAACTTCTAGCCCTAAATGTTCAAATAATAAAAGTAAATGTGGATGTGTTTATATACATTACATAGGTACAGTTTCTCCTTCTCACAACACTTAAAGTTTAAACTTACTCCATGGAGAGGCAAAAGCTACCACTGTGGCACATTTCAAATGAATGTTGAGCCAAAAAACTTTTTAAAATTGCCCAATTTCTTCAATTCCACTAGTTTGACGAGCGCCTGATTTCCCAATGATGTCACACAAAGGTAAACTAATCCTTGTCACAAGTTGTCAGACTGGTCCGGTGAGTAGTCAAGAAACGTCACAGAAGACCTTCAACTGAACCAGTTGTCATACCAATCTAGCGGTAGACCCTCAACTAAACTAGAAGCATCGTGGTAGACCCTCAACTAAACTAGCACCCAATTTTCCATGTTTTCCATGTTGTCTTGTCCTCAACATCAATCTGAGAATCCTCATCATGGCATTGTAAAAATCACCACACATTTACGGAGAAAGATTCCCCAACATGATATACCTTCTTTCACTTACAAAGGAATATTTCTCTTCAGAAAGGTGGTCAGCTATACATATCATATCCCATTTCACTTTTATATATATATTGGAACATTCCCCAATAGAAGAGGAGCACTATTTCTATTACAAATGTACACCTCTTTTTTCTTATGAATGAACATTCCCTACAGAGAGGTGGTCGGAGTATACACATACTCATTTCTTCACTTACGTGGGAATATTCCCCAACAGAGAATTGGTCCACTTGAACTTAATCAGTTTTTGTAGCTTGTTTTCTGGCTCTTTGGGGTCCATGGGTATACACATTCCCTGAAGGAGACTCAAATAGTCTGTGCAAGCTTTCCCCACTGTCTCCTGACTGTGGTTTGGATCTGTCAGCAAATCGAGAAGCTTCCCTCGAAGCATTCGCAGATCGCTAGATAAAAAATTATAATGTTTGAGTTTACAGTAAAAAAAAAAGTCTCTATAGATAACTATTGTCATTTTAAGCATTATGAGAGTAAGACAAGATATAAAATAAAATACAGAAATATGAAATAAAAAGACAGAAAAGTTAAAAAGTAAGACCAACTAAACATCTTCACTCAACCGATGTACCAATATGTCATTTAAGTGTACCATGTTTTGGGACTAATACCTTAACTGAGAAAGTAAATCTTTCCTACTTAGCTAGCTTCTATGTTAACTCTTGTCCTGAGTCTTGTGCCGACATACCAATCTTATCAGCAACCTATTACGTCGGACATTCCCGGTGGGCACGGGGTCACTCAGCGTGTACTGTTGGTGTACAGTGAGCGGCACTGGAAACGTGTGTTTTTGCCGTGAATACCGTGGAAGTGTGTTTATCGAACATAACGCTTTCTATTTATAAAGTGTTATGAACACATGAGTAACCCCCTCTCATAAAAGCTGATAAGACATTATGAGTAGTTATGTCCATTCAAAATAACCTTTTTAGATGCTCTTGTCGTTATGAATGATCTGGGGTTCGAAAAGGGATAAATAAATCAATTTCCAAATGTTTGCCCTCAAATTGTTCTTTTTACCTGTACAATGGTATTCAAAACTATCAAAGAAGCTTATTTTTATCAGGTAATATCATTTCATACAAAATCAAGCTCATTTGAAAGATTTTGTATAGAGAAAAATGGAAGTCTTGTTTCCTGGCTATACATTCGAGTTCCTCAGGTCTAAGTGGGTCAATTTGTTCTAATGTCATCGGACGAACATCTAGAGCTACCAACTTGGGGTGTTTTGAATGAGACGTATGCCTCAGTTACGAACCGAAGCAGGCAGTTCTTAAAGTAGGCCACACACGCACACAAACTCAAGCAGACTGATGCACACACACTTGAGCAGCAGGAATACAGGACCCTGTCATTACACAGATGATGCTCGGTGTGCGTGCACTGAGCCAGGGCCGGACTGACACGGGACCAGAATGAAGGCAAGGTGCCGAAACAGGTTTATTGGGGAACATGAACCAAGTTTCCGTAGGACCAGGGTTGAGAAGACTGAGAGATGGATGAAAGATGTCCAAATCCAAAAAAGACTGAATATTGGCAGATACTGCTGTTATATACAAGTGCCCACCGGCTTTAATCAACCACTGTCCCACATCCATTTTCTCATCCAAGTGCGGCTGAACAGCAAAGAATAAGTGTAGAAACCTACTGTACCAAGAGTCAAAGTCAAAGGGACCTACCAACAGCATGTAACTTCTTGGAGACAGAACATTTTCACTCCTAACCAAAGCCCTGTACTACTAGCATCACAAAAGCTGTGACATCACAACTTACATAAAAGAGTAACAGAAGCAAGTTGATATATGATGGTTTGTCGAAAAAGAAAAGAGAGGAAAGGAGGGGATGTTTTCCGTACAGAATGTCAAGTTTCATACTGTGAAAAAATGCCAGCTCTATTCGGACTCGAGTCCAAATTATAATGGGTTTTATCTATTCGGACTCGGGTTCGTAAAAAATGTTTTATTTATTCAGACTCAGCTTCTAAAAGAGTTATGTGGGAGTAAGGAGGTTACATAACATAACTGTCGTCGGGGGATTTTATGTAAAACCAGCAGAAATAGAACTAGAATTACCTACTAGGACTGTGTAATTGCGTCAAAAGTCAAAAGACTGAACTGTCATTTCCCAATGGCAGTGTCTAAGTACACGGTACTTTCCACAACCATTACAGCATCATCATTACTTCCACCACCATTTGTCTTTCCACATGTTTAATCTAATTTTTGTTGTGAGTTATAGTTTTTCTGTAATCTTTTTTTTTTAATCACATTGCACAAAATGGGCAGCCATGGTCTCTTCCCAACACCTCTTCCCCCAGCAAGCCGAGGATGTGTGATCACCATGCGCAGTCTCATTGGTCGACATAATTAACTTTGACCCCAGCAAGGTCAACTTAACTTGGTTATTGTTCTGTTCTGCTGTTCATACTAATGATGCAGGGAGGGCCAGTTTAGATTATAGATCTAGTAACTGAATATTAAAGCTCACGTCTCGATTGTTATCATTATAATCAAAAAAATTTTCATGAATGCTGGAAATATTTAGGAACAAGGGTCCGAAGTCGGAACAGACATCGTGCTGGACTAAATTCAGAGTCCGAATATAATTTTGCGTCTATTCGGACTCGAGTTCGGATAGTCACTTCGGCTAAAAAAATTATGTCTTTGACAGAAAACATGCATTCAAATAAGCTCACACTGTTTGCAGTTCCTATTGCTGCTAATCAATAAATCTGAGATAGGCAGGCTGGAGGAGCTTTTTTACACTTCCTGGCAAACAAACATACTTATGGCATTATGGGTGAGTTATATTAACTCTTACAACTGAGATGCTAATCTTATTAGCAACCGATTACGTCGGACGTTCCAGGCAGACCGCCAGGGTCACTCAGTGAGTACTGCTGGTGTACAGCGAGCAAGCCTGGAAACGTGTGTTTCGCTTTGAATACCGTGGGAGTGTGTTAATCGATGATGAAAATAACACTCTACCTTTTACAGCTTTCTATTTATAAAATGTTACGAACACATGAATGAATAACCCCCTCTCATAAATTAATAAGACATTACGAGTAGTTACGCCCATTCGAATAACCTTTTTAGACGCTCTTGTTGTTATGAATGATCTGGGGTTCAAAAGGGGATAATACAGGTCAATTTCCGAATGTTTTGCACTCAAATTGTTTTACCTACAATGGTATTCAAAACTGTCAAACAAGCTTACTTTTTATTACGTAGTATCATTTCATACAAAATCAAGTCCATTTTAAAGATTGTGTATAGAAAAATGGAAGTCTTGTTTCCTGACTATCCTTTCAAGCTCCTCAATTCTAAGGGGGGTCAAATTGTTCTTTAAATTTCATTGGACGACCATCTAGAGAGCTACCAACTTGGCGTGTTTTGAATGAGACGTATGCCTCGGTTACGAACCAACGCAGGCGGTTATAGTATAGAAGTAGGCCACAAACGTACACAAACTCTGAAAGCAGACTGACGCACACACACTTGAGCTGCGTGAATGCGGGTCCGATGCAGGACTCGAATGGAACAGAGATGATGCTCAGCGCGCGTGCGCTGAGTCAGGGGCCGAACTGACACGGAACCGGAACGAAGGCAAGGTGCCGAAGTAGGCTTATCGGACGACATAAACGCATCCCCTGCAAGACTAGGGTTAATTTATACTTGATCTAGAATCTAGATATAGACCAACCCGACAGGTAGAAAGTCTCAGTGACAGTCTCAGGACAGGATCAGTCTTATGAAATATAAATTTCATATATGGCGGAAAACACAGCAGAGGGCAAAATGGCACTTTCTGTATTCTGAACAATTTTTCTCAGAAATGGAACTGTGTGTGTGTATCTTTAGT